CCGTACCTGCGATTTCTCCTGCTGCCCATCCTCAAGTTGCGAGGCTCCTCCCACGGTTTTCCAACGCTCGTTCCCCATCTCGCCGCCAACTTCCAGCCCAAGTAAGTGCCCGGACCCCCCCAGGCTCCCCCAAACCTCCTCCCCGGCGGCGCAGCCCCCGGCCCGCCCGCGCTGCCCGGCTGGCCGCGGCGGAGGACGGGCGGCGGCGGCGGCGGCGGAGGAGGAGGAGGAGGAGGAGGGAGGGAGGAAGAGAAGGGAGGGAGGACACGGGCACGGACACGGGGGTGGATCTTCCCTCCCCGCCCGCCCCGCTCCCCCCCGGGGCTCCCCTGGCCCCGCTCCGGGCCCCCCGCCCGGCGATGCCCCGGGGGGTCTCCCCGCCTCCCTCAGCACAGCCCGCAGCCCCCCGGCCGCCCCAGTCATTCCGGACTGGGGCCCGATCCCCCCTCCTCCAGCCCCGGGCTCCGCAGCTGCCCAGATGTGGCAGCACAGCTGGAGGAGCGGCAGCAGGTAAGGTGGGGGCTGGTGCCGGCGGGGCCAGGGGTGCTACAGGGGACCGGGGGGCGAAGGGGGAGGCGGATGCCCTGGGGACCCGCTCACCCCCTTTCCAAAGATACGCCCCTTCACCCCCACGCTGACTGGGCTCAATCCCACCGGTGGGCAGGAATGGGCAGGGTGCTGGGCAGAGAGAGGGGGGCCATTGGCACGCCCCCACCCCCCCATAACCTTTGTCCCCAAGGGTAGCCAAAGTGCTGGGGGGCTCAGAGCAAAGCCCAGCGCACAGTGGAAAGCTGGTGCGGGCTGATGGGGGAGGAGGCAGCAGCTCCCCTCCCTGCGGGGTCACACCGATGCCCACTGGAGCATCCCTTGCCCAAACCCCAGCGTTGTCAGCCCAAAGCAGCGGTGCTGACCCTGCGTGCCAGGAGTCCCTCCCGGCCTGATGTGCTGCCACTCCCGAGTGGATGTGGTTTTCCTTCCCATAGCTTTGCCGCACTTCCCGTAAATCTTTTATTTGCCACTTGTCTGACCTGCGGGCAGGAGCGTTGCTGAGAGGTTCAGAGGAGCATCGTGAGAGCAGCGATGGCTCAGCCCTCTCTTAATCCATCTAGGGGGAGGCTGGGTTATCTCTCCGTGCTGAGAAGCCCCTGGGAAACCTCCTGGAAGGGCCCTGCATCCACCCTGCACACTCCTGTCCTGCAGCATGGGGCTGTCCCCTGGGCAGGCAGCACAATGGGGCTGGGGGTTGGTTCAAACCCCCCTGGGTCTGTCCCTGGAGCTCAGCTCAAGTTGGGACCCTCCAGCAGCTCCCATGTGGTGGCAGGTAAGGTGTGTGGGGGTGTCAGGTTGTTTGTGTGTTGGGGGGCAGGGGTCCAAGCAGCTTCTTTCCAGGACACACACCCCATCTGGGGAAGAGTTGGTGCATGCTGGGTCGGCTGGTTCCAAAAGACATCTCTGGGGCGGGGAGGGAATCACAGGCATTGCCTCAAGCAGTCAGTACGTGTGTCTCTGTGTGTGTGTGTGTGTGTGTATGTTGTTTCCTGGCAAGGTGCAAATCCTGCCTTTGGCTGCAGTGATGTTGTGTGTGGATTTACCGGGCGATGCTCATGGCTGGCAGCCCAGCTCCTTCCCCATGGACGGTTTTCAAGGACTTCCCTTTACAGCTGAGACCGGCCAGCTCGTGCCACCAGTGGGTTGTTTGACATGCCCACACCAGCCGGGCTCAGCCCCTGGCTCTGCTCGGCCACTCTGGAAGCATCAGGCCACGGGCACCCCGGGGGGCTGTTTTAGCTGAACTCCAAACAATAAAAACTTATCATTAAAAAGAAATGCATCTTGGCTTCATGTGGCCTGGCAGCGCGAGGAGGAGTGATTCAGTGGCTTGTCAGCCCTGGGCGTTAGGCACGCCGAGCTGCACAACTGGACACTCTCCAAGTCCAGCAACTCATTTTCTGCAGATGGAGCCAGGACCGTGCAGAGGGCTGATGGTTAATTTGCAATCCAACATACCTTGACATAACCCACAGCCGAATCGCGGAGGTGGTGCGGGGTGGGATGCTTGGGAGCCCGCTGGCAGGGGTGTGCAGGCAGGGCTGGCCCCTCGCAGCCCCTGCCCTGTGTGGGGTGTCCCTGCTGCACCCTGACACAGGGGGGCCCATGAGGCTCTGGCTCGGCCGCTCCCAGTGCTCTTCCCAGTTTCCAGTCTCCGAGCAACTCGATGAGCAGGATAGAGGGTGCCTGCCTGGAGGAGAAGGCTGTGTTTCTGGGAGCCGTGGGTGAGCCCTGCCCATGCTCTGGTGGGCCAGGGGATGGCAGGGACACTGGCCTGGCTCATCCCTGACTCATGCTGAGCTGTGTCACCACCTGTTACCCATCATGGGGTCTGGCTGTAGCTGTGGCACTGGGGACATGGATATGGGCATCCACGGCCAGATGAGCCCCATGGCCCCACAGCCCTGGATTCTGCTCCATAGGCTGTGCCAGGAGGGATTGGGTGCTCAGGGTGCACCAAGGACTTGGGCACACGCCATGCCTGGGGATTGATGGGCCCCCCGGGGGCTGACAGGGGCTTGGATAGGTGGAGAAGGGGTTCTGTCAGCAGCTCAGCCCTGATCTATAGGCAGACAGAGGGGATGATTCATGTCTCAAGCTGTGGCCTGAGGGCAAAAACGGGAGAGAGGTTTGATGTGAGGATGCCGGGAGGCTGCGGGTCCTGCTGGGAGTTGCGGCTCCTGGCAGTGTTTCCCTTCCCAGAGCCAGCTCTGCCCACACTGCCCAGGGGTCTCGGCTTGGCCTGGGGGCAGAAAATGGCTGAAGCAACACGGGACCAGATCCATGGACTAAACTGAGTCTTTTTTAAAAATTTCAGACACTGTCATCTATGTTGTGGTCCAAGGCAGCAAGCAAAGTTGCAGTGGTGGTGTTGGGCAGGGGTTTGACTTGGGTCAGGGGAGAGGACACCCCAGGGAGTGGGACACCCCAAGACAGGGCTCAGTGACACTTTACCCCCCTTGTTGAGTTCAACCACGCTTGGTCTGCATCCCCAAAATGCTGCAGGCCAGAGCTGGCAAGAGGACCAAAGTCCCGTGGGTCCAGCCCAGCGAGGGGCTGTGCAGGGCAGAACCACACCTGAGACACGGAGCAGCGCTGGGCCGGGGGGCAACACCGACCCCTCCCCGAGGAACAGCGTGCGCTTTCCTTGGCAGGGTGCCCCCGGAGGCAGAGCCGCCGCTGCACACGCGCGGCGTCAGACATCATCATCATATTAATAATGAAAGGGCAGCTCCTTCAAAGCTCTTCGTCCCCGCGCCGGCGAGAGCACAGAATGCAGAGGAGGCGCGTGAGCCTCATCCCAAAGCAGCCGCGGGGAGAGCGCTGCGATGCCCGGATGGTCCTTCGCTGGTCCTTCACCAGGCCGCTGACCCGGGTGACAAAAACCTGCCTGCTCCCCGATGGGTGCTGTCCCCACTGGGTGCTGGGGGGTCCCTGGCTGGGAGGGGGGAAGCCCGCGGTGTTCCCAGCTGCTGTCCCTGTCACTGCTCTGTGCAGGCTCCCCCGCCTGGCAGGGAAAGGCCGTTTTGGCTGTCAGGGAAGGAGCCTTTCTCCCAAGGGCTGAGTGCTGTGTCCATCACTGAGAGGCACGGCAGGACATCGCTCGCTGTGCCGGGGCCTTTTTCTTTTTTCCACGGGAGGAATCGATGGCTCAGACAATCAGACAAACCACCCGTGAAGATGTGCTGGGCTGCAGCCAACAGTGGGTCAGTGGCAGCAGCTCTTGGGGCATCTCTTCTGCTCATCCCCCTGCAAGACATTTGGGTTTCCAAACAACCTCCTTTAACACCCTCATTTTGTCTAGAGCATCCCCAAGCCTGGTCACTCGTTGTAAGGGTCTCAGCAGGACCAGACCAGGGACTGAGCATCTCTTCTTCTCTCTTCCCTCTGCCAAACCCTCTCCTCCAGCTTTTGCCCTGCTTGCGTGGTGGAAGCTGGGAGGGTTTTGCTGTGGATGCCCTGATCTGGGGAGGAAAGAATCAAACCCCCTGTACCAGGCAGAGTGGAGCACCCCATGCCCACCCTGTACCCACCCCATGCCCACCCCATGCCCATGTGCTTTCCCTGGCACCCCACGTGTTACAGAGAGTCCCACCCTGCAGTAGTGCCCCAGGGGGGTGGGGGGGCTGCTGTGTTCACCTTCTGACCCTTCCTGCCCAGCCCTTTCTCAGGCTTTTATTTTTCTCCCTCCAAACACAACAAAACCCCCAAATCCCCTGCAACTGAGAAACCTTTTTTTGTTCCTCTTTTCCCTTTGCTTTCTGCCGTGGCAGAGTATTGATCGGAGCTGATGTGCTGTAATCCGTTGTTTCTGAGAAAAGTTGGCATCCCAGAGTCCCTGGAGGGGCCAGATCCTGCCCCAGCATGGGTCTTGCTCCTCTGCCAGGCATGGGGCTTTGAGGGAAGGCTGTGACTTGCCCCATCCCATCCCTGCAAAGCCAGGGGCCATACGCTTGGCGGAGGGAACAGCATGAGCTGATAGGTAGGAGAAGGCTCTGGTTTGGAGCAGAGCCAGCTCAGATCCTGCTGGGATGGATATCCAGAGTGATGGACATCTGAAGATACCCTCCTACCCCTCTGGCAGGACAGGGGATGGTGGCACAGGGGGACATTGGTGCTGATGAGAGGGGCTGGTTGGGGGGCTCAGCAGGGGCTCTCCAGAGAGGAGTGATTCTGCTTCCAGGCATCCAAGGAGGGCTGTGGGGAGTTGGAGCTGACCTTGACCTGAGAGGGGCTCGTTTTGGGGTGCATGGCTGCCCCTGCAGGGCAGGACCCTGGCTGAGAACCACCCTGTGCCCACCCTCCTCCCCCCCTCCACTCCACTGTGCCGATGTTCCATCTACACTTAATGATGGCAAATGGATCAGAGCAATGGAAAGTGAGGGGAAAAAAGCCCAGCCAAAAATCGCCAAAAACCACAGGGAAGATTTTAATTTAAAACCTTTTCCCACATGGAGAGCAGCAGCCTGGGCCATCTGGAGGAGCATATGCAGGTGAGGGGGGGCAGCGGTGCCTCCCCCAGCTCCATCGTTATCAGCAGCCCCTAAAAGGGCTTTGGGCTGACAAAAGCTATCCCTGAGGGGGGGCAGGCACCCTGATCCCAGCCATCAGCCTGGGGGAACCCCGGCTTTCCCTGCCAGGCTACCAAGACCTCTCTGTTTAATTGCTGTATTTGCTGGAAAAGTGATGATGAATCCCAAAGCAAACTGCAATAGCGGCCGAGTTTATTGCAAGAGATTAATTCAGTGGTTTAATTGAAACTGCAGGAGCAGGACGGGAAAGCACCGGTGTGGGGCTGAGAGGAGGGGGGGTCAGGGTCAGCCCTGCTCAGCACCCACATCCACCTCTAACCCCGGCAATCATCGACACCCAAATTAGCAGATTTACTCCTCAGAGGCCTCCTCCATTGGCTGAGCGTCACATCCAGCATCCTAAAGCCCCAAGTCTCCTAGCAACTCCCCGGCACTGCCTCTGCCCACCCATTAACCCCTTCCCGAGCTCCCCCCCGCACCATGTGGAACACCTGGTGCCTTGAAGGCGTCACTGCCACACTGGGTGTGAGCAGGGCTTTGTGCAGCAAATAAATCTGCAGGATGCTGGAAGGATGCTCGGGATGGGAGAACTGAGCTGGGCTGGTTGGTCAAGACTCAGGATTTTTTATTCCAGGTGGCACAGAGAAATCTTCAGGTTTATACATTGATGTTGTGGCAGTTTGGAAGGTTTCATCCTCCTGACTTGTGGAGATGCTGGGAAAAGGTCAGGGAACCTCCAAATCATGGCCAGCTGGTGCAGCTCCCAGCTGGCATTGGCATCAGAGCACGAGCCAGCCTCTTCTTCCCTTTTCAATACTAAATCAATGACACCATTTCTTTGGGAATAGGATGGAAGGGAAATTTTCAAGGAAAATGGCCTTGAAAGTGTAAAATCACAGCAGGAGATGGTGTGATGCCCAGGCCAGGGCCGGAGGGAGTGAGGCTGCTTTTTGGTTTGGATGTCCAATACTTCCCTGGCTTTGTCTTTAGAGATCAGAAGGATGGAAAAAAAGGCTGAAAAAAATAGTGAGTTTGCTGTTCGAAAAATAACAGTTGACATGAAAAAAAAACCAAACAAGTTTGGTTGTGTTTGTTTGTTTTTTTTTTAACTGTCTTAATATTTATAGACTGGGAAATGTGTCCAAAGATCATGTGCCACTGAAAAGGATAAATCACTTATCTCACTTTAATGTGCTTTGTTGGGCTTTATCAGAAACATTGTCATAAAATCACCAAATTGAAATTTTAAATGGGGAGAGAGAGGAGATATCTGGAGGGTTTGTTCTTGCTTCTGTTTCCTTATTGCCAAATAAAATACAATTAAAGCAACGTTTTCCATGCCAGCCAGCACAGCTAACACTGCTTTTCTGACGGCACTTATTCCTGTCAGCCAATGAAAATAAATGATGCAGGATTACCAGGGAACATCCAGGCTCCGTGGCTGGAGGGGGATGCGGAGCAGCAGGCATTCCAGTTTGAAACAGAGGGATTTTATTCCCGCGGTAAGTGGAAATCTCCAGGGATGTTACCCACGGAGCTCTCTGCTGCCGCCTGGAGCGATGCTTCATCTTTCGTTCGCTCTCCCAGTTTCCCCCAGCGCTTCCCAGTCTAAACCAGTCCTTGGCACAGCCCCTGTCTGGGGGTGCTAAATTAACTCAGGACCCCCCTCGCAGCAGTTTTGGGGTGACTCCAGCCAGATCACGGTGGGTCTGGTCCCCCTTAGGGCTCACTCCCATGCCGGGGGCTACCGGCAGCTCAGCTGCTGACTGCACCGAAATCCCCGTGGTAATTGGATGAGGGCACTGGTTTCCATGAGAATATTAAATCAGAGCCCCAGCCCCGATCCCGGGAGACACGCTTGGGAATATAAAGACACGGTAGCTCACGTTATAGAGGAGTTATTTCTCCTGCTTTAAAGTCAAAGGTACCACAGCAACTTCTTATTTGTCACAGAGTGTATTGGAGCATCTCCGACTGATGGGAGAGAGGGAAGGGGAAGGCAGAGGGGCTGAGCACTCACAGCTCGTCACAGCGATGGGCTTTTGGGGGGCTTTGGAAAAGCAGGCTCAAAAAGTGGTTAAGTGCTTTCTAAGCCTGCTTTTCCAAAGCCCCCTGAGAGCCCATCACCAGCACTTTCTGAGCTTGTTGTTCCAAAGCCCTTTGAGAAACCATCACTGTGAAGAGTTGCAAGTGCTCAGCCCCTCTCAGGGGAGAGCCTGGGGGGTGACAGCAGCCACAAACCTTTGTAGCAGAGCTGATGCAAGTGTCCCAGTGCTGCAAAGGTCCCGGGGGCTTTGTGGGCAGGAGCTCAGTGCCACCATCCCGAGCTCACTCCACTCGGGACTGGTACAGGGAATCACTTAGGAAATGAGGGGCTCCAGCACCCTCTCACTTATCAGTTTATCCAGGTCTCTGGTTGTGGTGACCATCTGGTGGCATCTGCTGCTGCTCAGCTGTCACCCACCCTCCTGGTGAAGGGGATGCTCTGGGCACCTTGTGGGTGGGGATATGCAGGGGACATGTCCAGAGATCTGGCACAGGGTTAGGGGCAGCCACAGCAAGCACATCCCATGGCTTCCACGGGGACAGATGGATGCCATGGATGGATGGAACAATGGATGCATGGGCAGATGGACATCTCCCCACCCACAGCAGGGAGGCAGGGGAGGACAGACAGACAGACAGATGTTCCTCCTTAGCCAGTGGGGTGCCCTCAGGTGATGCAGACAAGCCCATTAAAGGGGTTTATCAAGGGGGTCGGGGCTGGCAGGAGGCTGCTGGTTTTATCTGAGATGCTGCTTTTGGGCTGGGAGAGCCTAAGCTCCTGCTCATTAATTAGAAAGGCTTCGAGGAGGTTTGTACTGGTTGGCCTCACTCGTGAGCAGCCATAATATGATGAGCGATTAGGGACTTTGAAGCTTTTTAGCGGGTGTCATTAAGCTGCTGATGAGCTCAGGCGGGGAAAGGGCCTTTTTGGCTGTGCCTGGAACTGGCTGGTCCTACTCTGACCCAGCCCTTCCTCCTGTTGTGGTCCCTGACCTCCTGAGCCTGATGAGATGGGTGAAGTGTGTGTTCTGGGGACAGCAATGGCTCATCTGTCACCCTGTGTCCTTGGGCTGGGTCAGATCTGGTGTCATTCAGCTCATCAGTGAGATGATGAGCTTGTGGTCATGCATGAGTGAAGCTGAGATGTTACTATTTTCGCTGTCTGCCAGGTATTGAGAGAATTTGGGGATTATTAGCTCTGAAAAGGTGACTTCTAAACCATTTGTGCATCAGGGGAGAGAATCGTGATATGTATCCTGGCAATTGCTTTGGGACAGAGTTTGTTTCCCGGTTATGGGTTTTCCCTGCTTGTCTGGGCACTGATGGTGAAGGCTTCTTGCTCAGGGGACACCCTCTCGGGTGGCAGTGTCACTGTCCCATCCTCCTCGTGCTTCCTGATGCCCCCAAGGGCTGCGGCAAGGCAGGGACAAAATCTGCGGGATTTTCTCTGCCCTCCCTCATCTTCTCCCGCCTGCCTTGGCAAAACTTCCTGCAGCTCAGCAGCATCCTGCCCCGCCGTGGTCTGGTTGGCATCACTAGCGCTGTATTTACAGCAGTGTTAATTAAATACTTTCTGCAATCAGCGCCACACATGACCCCGCTCCCCGAGCCGGGCTGGGCTGTAATGTGCCATCATCGAGCGAGAACACGACTGCTGCCATCCCAGGGAATTTCTAATAGAGATTTACTCATCCCAAGCCTCTCATTTCTCCATTTTGTGACATTTTGCAAAGTTCAGGTTTACAAAATAAGCCAGTGCACACGAGAGAAGCTCCAGCCATTATTTATGCTGCACATGCCATTCCCCCTCAATGGGGTCTTTTGTCCCACAGTGAGCAGAGTTAGGGGGTGGGCTGGCAGCTGTCCTCTCCTCCCCTCTGCCCAAGAGGCTGCTAGTTTTGACAAGGAGCACCTCATCACCCCAGATGTCCCTTCCTCTGTGTGCTGGGAGAGTGGCAGAGCGTTGTGGCTGTGCCCTTTGAAATGCTCCTGGCATCGTGCAGCTGAACCTGCCTCCAACCCCCATTCCAGTCCCAGGGTAAAGGATGGGATGGGAGAGGGAACTGGTCACAGTCTAGGGGCAGGTCAGGTAGGGCTACTGCAGTTTTGGGTTGTGATTTGGGATGCTGAGCTGCTCTGCTTTTAAAAATAAGCTTGTGCTGAAAGCTGGCGGGGAGCGCGGGTGCGGAGGCAGCAGCTGCCAGCAGAATCCCATTAGTGTGCCACAGCCTCCCAGGTCTCAGCTGTGGGCAGAAAAGCCCTTTTTGGCAAATCACCTGTGGTAGGAGCTGCCCACTCTGTGAGAGAGGCAGCCTGTGTGCCAAAAGCCAGGGATGGGGAGAAGGTGTCCGTCCCAGAGCCTTGTCCCTCCATGACACAAAGTGGTGGCCAGTGCCTTTCTGACCTGCTCCTGTTTAACCTGTGCCCAGCTCCCATCGGTGCTGGGGCCTGGGGCAAACCCCTGAGTAACCAAACTTCCTTCTCCTCCTCTTCCTCAGGAAGGCACTGGCCATTCTGTGTTCAGCAGTGCTACAGCAAGGTCAGCTCATCCCTTCTGGAGAAGGTTCTGCTGGAAACCAGGGTGTGCTCATCTCACAGTATCACTCCGTATGCAAGTGGAGTCAAGGGCACCAACCCAGGTCCCACACAGCTCCATGAGGTGGATGGGGGCAGGTAAGTGGGTGGTGGCACCCAGTCCTGTGCACCCTGTTGAAACCTGGCCGTGCTGCCAGCCTGGAGCTGGGCTGTGGGAGATGGGGGGCTGTGGGCTCTGGCACACCTCGCTCCTGCCCCACGCCTGCCTTGTCAGGTCTGATCACGAGAAGGATCAGTCGGCCCTGCTCCTCGCTCTCCCGATTTAATTAACGGGCCTTTCATCTCTACCCTGAAGGAATCTGCTATCTTCTGTCTTCTTAATTAACGTTCATTAAGCAAATCAGAAGAACATTTTCTCCTCTCCGCCTCCACGGCTTTTAACCCTTGCAGGGTTCCAGGTCCCCCCCATCCCAGGCTCCTGGGCAGGTTGGTGTGTCATCACAGACTTGGTCACCACGTCTCTGCCACGCTTGGACTAAAGTCCCGGGGCAGCATGTGAAGTCTCTCCAAGTACAGAGAACTTCAGGTGAGGTTGGGCTTTGCTACACCAGTTGGGCTGGGGGCAAATCCCAGCTCTGATCACTCTTAGGACACTCTTGTTCAAGATCATCCATATTCCTGGAAAACAAGGGGTTTCCATATCCAGCTTTAGCTCTACTTCATATCTAGGGGTGAAGTTCACCCATGGCACAGGTGATGCATCTGTGCTTGAAGGTTTTGCTGTGAGGAGCCACCATCCAAACCTGGTAGGAATCACAGTGCAAGGAAGGTGTGTCCTGTGGGGGCTACCCCTGCCGTTCTCTTGCAGAGTAACATTAGATGTGAAGGGAAATCTCCTTGTGCAGGCAAGAGGCACATTTGTGCCCAGCACCTGACAAGATGAGGGGCTCGTTCAGCCCGGGGTGCAGCTGAATCCGTCTAGGGATGTGCAGCTCTCACTCCAGCTGCAGCATTCCCACTGCTGAGCACAGCAGTGTCACCACCAATTGCCATCAAGCCCTGGCCCTGTGGGCCATCCCCCCATGCTGGGTGGGCTGTGCTTGAGGAGGAGGTGAGGTTGGGATGCTCATCAGCTTTGCCTGAATCCACTGTACGTCCCATGGGCACAGACCAAGCCCCCACTACATGGTCTCATCACTCTCTAACATGGACCCCTGTGCAAGAGGGGATGAGCTGGGCAGGGAAATCATCTCCTCTGTGTGTGTTACATCCAAGGAGGAGAAAGCAAACCCATGACACAAGAGAGCATCTCCTTGCCTCAGCAGCAAGTGGAAAGCAAAACATCTGGAAAACCTCATCCCTGCAGAATGCAAATCTGCTTAAAACTGGTGGCAGAGATATGCGGGGCAACTCTTGAGCTGAAAACCCTTCTCCTTCTCCCTGGAGGTTGACAGTGTGTTTGCCACTGGCCGCCCATTCCCAGGCAGCTGCTGCAGAGCTCCTCAGTGCTGGGAAATTCACCCTTCCCAGCGGAGCTGGCTCTGGCTGTCAGAGCCTGGGTCAATATATGATAATGGGGCTTTGAAACGGCGCTGCTGCGGGAGCCGCTGCCCAGGACTCTGATTCACAGCTCCCCTCCGGTGCTTTCTCCCGCAGTGTGTACGGGGAAGGAGAATAAAATAAATAAGAGTGGAAGGGAAGGGGAAGAAGGGAGCTTAAATTATAAATGAGAGCTAAGTTTCCAAGGCCCCTGTGGGCAGCTCAGTGAAGCAGTGTGGGAGTCAGAGGCAGCGCTCCCCCTGTGCACCCCTCTTTTGCAAACACACCTCCTGTGGAGTGTGGGGCAGGGTCTGCCCAGGGGCATGGCACTGTGCCAGTCTGCCTCTCCCCCTATTTGCTGTCACCCTCCTGCCCCCATGAGTCAAATCTGGAGGGTGCCATGGTCCCCAGAGGGATTCCCTTGGCACAGACTATAATTAGGATTAGCTGAGAGCTGTTAATGAGGCATGGTGATGATTGGGTTTTGCTACCCCGTGGAGATGCCTCCACAGGGATGTGCCCTCACCCTGGTCAAGGGGACTGGGCTGGTCCATGGCAGCAGGCAGAGATGGGACCCCCACTCGTGGGTGCTGGTGTGGAGGCATTGAAGGGAGTGTCACAGACCCACAACCCAGCCAGGCTGGTGTGAGTACAGGAGCATTGGCATCCCATAAATCAGTGTCAGGGGAGAATAGGGTGCTGGGCCTGCTCCAAAGCCTTTCACTCACCCCTTTTTGATTTTGGGGCTGCAAGAAAAGTGGTGACCACCACCAATTTAAGGAAAAAAGCTACAGGTGAGGCACATTCCTGGGGCTCATTCCTGGGGCTGAGAAATGGAGGAGCTCTGCTCCATCCACGCAGCTGGAGGTGCAAATCCCCCATCCCCAAAACAATGGGGCTGGGATGTATCCCACTGGAGGGTCCTATCCTGCCCATCCCCACAGCCTGAGGACCATGATGGCCTGCGGTGATACCAACCCCACAGCTCTGGCTCACAGACGAACATTTCGACATTCCCAGCAGCTTCCACAAGATGGACCTCGGAGCGAGAGGAGGTGCCGGGTAAGGGGACCCGTCCCGTCCCATCCCACCCTGTCCCGTCCCATCCCATCCCGTCCTGCCTGCTCCCGCCTTGCCATCGGGAGGAGGCTCAGAGTCCAGCCAGGCGAGCCCCGGCATGGCACGGCCTCCCGGGCTCTGCCTGCTGGCCCTGCTGGGGCTGGGGCTGGGGGCGGGGGGCTCGCCCGCCTGCTGGGACCCCCGGGGGCAGCCCCGCCGCTGCATGCCCGTCTTCGAGAACGCCGCCTTCGGCCGGGCCGCCCGGGCCACCAACACGTGCGGGTCGCCCCCGGAGGACTATTGCCTGCAGATGGGCACCCGCCACGACAGCACCCTGTGCCATCGCTGCGATGCCGCCGACCCCCGGCTCCACCACAACGCCTCCTTCCTCACCGACTTCCACAGCCAGGAGGAGAGCACCTGGTGGCAGAGCCAGTCCATGGCCTTCGGCATCCAGCACCCCAACTCCGTCAACATCACCCTCCACCTCGGTAAGTGCCAGCAGTGGTGTTGGTGAGGGGCACCGGCTGTGGGGGCATCGAGATCTGGGTGCAGAGATGGGGGGGGAAAGGGTGGATGCTCCTGCATCTGGTACCTCTTGGTGTCGGTGCTGAGTTAAGGACAGGACCTTCCCCAGGTCTTTTAGGGGGTGCAAGTTGGGAGGTGCCCTCTGCAAAGCACTGAAAGGACTCAGGGAGGGTCTGCCTTGTCCATCAGCCCTGGTCCTTCATGGGATGAGGATGTCAGCGGCTATGCCTGCCTGTGCTGCTTCCCAGACTCCCAAGACCGGGATGCCTGCCCCTCTTTTCATCCCCGGCTGCGTTATACTGGTTATGGAGGTCTGTGGAGCAGGAGACAGGTGGTTCCTAGCCCTGGGAGAGCTTTGCCCAGGACGAGTGAGCACCATGGGTGCTAAACCCCTGCCGTTTCAACCCCTGCATTGCTGAGGGTGCCCAGTACATCTCGGGGTGCAGAGCTCTGCACACATCGTGCAGTCCCAGTAGGTTTCCCCAGCTGGAATCCGCCCCTCTGTGTTTTAAATACTGTGCAAGCCGCCTGCTTGGAGGGTACTTAAAACCCACGGGGCATGCCTGGCATTTTAAAAAGGTTTTATAACATTTTCCTACCATCTAAACTATCCTGGCTGTTGGCCAGCGCTGTAAAATCTTCATTCTCTGCAGTCTCCTGCCATCTGCATGCCGAAGGGGGGTAGTGGAGGGGCTGCGGCTGGAGCTGGTAAGGGGACAGCCCAGCGAGGTAAGGGGACAGAGTGTTGGTGTGGCCCAGAGCCGTGCTGGTGGCACCCAGGCTGGCTGGGGTCGCCGTGGCGGTGGAGGGTCCGTGCCTGCCCTGGCAGTGACGCGGGCTCTGCCCGGCTGGGCGGAGGTCGCCGCTTTCCCAGCCCCCTGCGAGCGGGAGGACATCTGGTCCTGTCCCCGGGCCGGGGCTGGGCTCCCCGCCGGGCATGAGAAACGATGCCAGAGGAACCTGCCATCCCTGCTCCCGCTCCTGCCAGCCCTGTCCGCGGGGATCTGCTGGCCTCTTGTCCACTGTCAGATTGCCCCAAATCTCTCTGTGGGTGTCCTGGGGCACAGACCACCCGAGTGCAGCCTGTGTGTCTGAGAAAGTGCCACCAGGCGAGTTTGTGGCCACCAATCCCAGCTTGGCGCAGCGACATGTGCGGGCTCCACAGGCCCCGGGGCTTGCTTCCCAGTCTCTGCCTTTCTTCCAGCTCTTCCCTGGCTCGTCTGTGGTCCCTGTTGGACCCTGCACTCGGGTTTCCTGTGAAGTCCAGTCCCTGTGCCCACCCTGCTGTGTCTATGTTAACACAGCCAAGGCTATAGAATTGCACCAAGCTTATCTTCCAACCCAGTCCCTGTGGCCCTTCCTGAGCTGGAGCATTCTCTGCAAATGTCCCCTTCTCCTGCATGGCTCCTATATCTTGCTGTGCTAAAAAGTGCCATTTTGGCGCTTGGCTGTCACTGTCTGACTTTGCCAGAGCTGCCAGGCCCTGTTTCTGTCCCAGCTGCAGACCTTTTTATTGCTGCCTTAATGCTTTCACTTGGGTTAAGAAGAAAAAGCCCAACTGGCCCTGCAGCCTCCCCAGAATGAGTCCTTGCTCGTGAGCTCCACTGGGTAATGGGGTGTTTTAACCCCTGCAACGTGTCCCCTCAGCCTGCTTGTCTTGCTCAGACACATGTCATGTAGGTTCTCCAGAGTGGTTACCTGGGGAGCTTATTAAATAAGATATGGAATGAGTTGGACAAGAGCTGTGTTTACCTGCGTGCTGTTGATTGGTGTTAACTAGATTATCCTCCTTTAAACCTCTCTTCCCTGGGAGATTTCAGCCGTGCCGTTACAGTGCACTGGACTCAGAGCAGGTCGATCGTCCCAAGTGTCCATGGCTCCTGCACTTGCTCTGTCAGGGAGGTTCCTCAGGGAGGAACCCAAAATATCCATGGCTTGCGAAGGCAACAGACACCAGGGCTCCTCAGGAAGCTCCCTGAATGTCAGTGGCTCATTTTGGAGTGTGTAGATCAGGTAGCATCCGTGTCTGTGACTCTGCCTCTGATTTTCCTGTGGGATGGGAGCCCACTGCTGAGGTTTTGTGGGGCTGGAGGTGGCTGGGGACATGTAAGTGGTGCGACTGTCCCACAGGCTTCTCTCCAAAATCCTCTTGGAACCCCCAGTGCTGTATGAGCTGCAGTTCAGGCTCCACGGGAGGCAAGGGAACACTTTGTTCAGGTTTTTCTAAGTAGAAATTGGCTGATTGAAAAACCTGTCTAGAATAAGCACAGACTCCCTCAGGATGATTCCACAGGGAAGTGAGTCTCCTCCATCCCGGCTGGAGGCACCGAAATGGGGCTCCCCCAGCCTGGCTGACCCCTCCCCTCGCGCAGGGCCGCTTGGGGCAGAGGCTGTTTATTGACACAGCACTGAGCTCCCTTCCTCTCCCAGAGGAAACAGCTCTGGGAGGTGATGGCCCTGACCTCTCTGTTTTGGTAGACATCCCCCCTGGGACCCTGCTGTCTGGGAACCGGCGCCTGCCAGGCGTCCCCCCCCTTGCTCAGGGTGCAGGACAAGGGCACCCCTGCTGTCATGAGCCTGGAGGGGTCCCAGAGGGAGGGGAGAGGCACAGGGGAGCGTGGCAATGGTGGGACAGCCTGGCTGCAGACCCTTCTTGGCCCTCGTCACCTCCGGGTGGGCTGGAAGCGGGTCTGTCCCCAGCTCCAGGCACTCAGCCGGGCGCTCCCCGCATCCCTGATGGGATGCAGCTGCTTTTCCCAGCGCTGGTAGCCGACTGCCTTGGCTCCCCCGCAGCAGTCGCAGCACATACGCGACAGTATTCATATGGGCCCAATTAAAGGCTTGTTTTCCTAGTCCCAGAATAACCCCTATAACATTCCCAACTCATTATCTTTTCAAATAAAGCCAAAACCTTGCAGCTAATTGTTTTGTGCTGTCAGGAGTGGTGCTGTTATGGAGCAATCCAGGCTTTGAGCTGGTCCTTCATCTCTGGCAATTAAGAGGGTCTGATGTTCACTTTGGTGTTTTCTCTTCTCCTTTCTGCTAATTCTTTCAAGTGCTTTCAGAGCTCGCTGGCTGCCCCAGGGATTGGTGGCCTCTCTTTGTCTTCATCCCAGCAAACATGGCAGTGAGGCTGGGTCCTGGCACGCAGCTCCCTGGGAATCCCTGGGAAAGGGATTGGCCTTGACCCTTTCCAACTCTCCATCCCTGTGGCACTACTGCCCTGGGGACGCTCTCAGTGCTGTGGGCCTGACTCTCCTCCCTGCTGCTGGATAGAGCCTGGATTTGCAGTGCCTCCTTGCCCATACAACCCACCAGTGCACCCACTCAAGGGGTGGGCATTGCATTGGGGTGAGAACCAGTTTGGAGCTGGATGGAGCTGCACCATGGAGGAGCTGGTTAAGGGCAGCTGGATGGTGATCTCTTCTGGCTGTGGTGTGGAGAGGGAGACAATGCAGTAGGAGCAGCGGGATGGCAGCAGCTGTGCAGGATGGGGCACTGGGATAATTTAGGCTGGTGGTGCCCATCGGGAGGCCTGGAGAGGGTCACAGCACGGTGGGTCTGTCCACAGGCAAAGCCTACGAGATCACCTACGTGCGGCTGAAGTTTCACACCAGCCGCCCCGAGAGCTTCGCCATCTACAAGCGCAGCCACGCCGAGGGGCCCTGGGTGCCCTTCCAGTACTACAGCGCATCCTGCGAGAAGACCTACGGGAAGCGGCCGCGGCAGTACCTGAGGCCAGGGGAGGATGAGCAGGTGGCCTTCTGCACTGATGAGTTCAGCGACATCTCCCCGCTGAGCGGGGGCAACGTGGCCTTCTCCACCCTCGAGGGACGGCCCAGCGCCTACAACTTCGATGGGAGCCCCGCGCTGCAGGTGCTGCCAGGGCAGGAGGGGGTGGGTGTATGGAGCCCCGGGGACTGAGAGCACTATTGCACCCACGTGGGGTAATAGCACTGGTGATGCCCAGCATCCCTGTATGGAAAGGTGCAGGATGAGTCCCAGTTGGGAGCTGGTGGCCCCAACCCCTTGACAAGGTGCATTTCCTTTGTCCCCTGCAGGAGTGGGTGACAGTCACTGACCTGCTTATCTCCTTGAACCGGCTCAACACATTTGGGGATGACATCTTCAAGGACCCCAAGGTGCTGCAGTCATACTACTACGCTATCTCTGACTTCTCAGTCGGTGGCAGGTGAGGGGCAGCCAGATTGGGGTGAGGGCAGGAGTATGGGGACCTTCCCGGGGCTGTGGGGCTGGGGCAGCTGCTCCACACCAGTCTTATTTGAACTGTGGTTTTGGGAAACCTGCCCAGATGTGGCTTCCTCCATATGTAAACCAGAGCTGGAAATACAGAGATGGGTGATAAAACCTGGAGCCTCCCCAGTTGTATGGGAAGGTGGTCTTTTCCCCACAAACTCTTCTGCATGTTCCGCCAGCTTTATTTGCTTTGTCCCCTCCCAGCCCTATGGCTTTTAATGACACTGGGGCTTGTGTTGCTCCTCCTGTGGCCCTGCTGGTCCCTGGGCATGGGAAAAGGGGTTCCTGTGGTTCTAGTGGAGCCACAGCCTGAGGCTGCTGAGGCTGGTGGAGGAGCTTGGAGTCAGCACGGACACAGTCCGAGAAGCTGGAGCAGCTGTCTGTGGGAAGGGGGAGCTGATGTGGGTCAGAGATGCAGTCGGCACCCACTCGGTGCTGCCCATGGGCTGTGCTGCACATGCCCTTCCCTAGCTGGGACAAGTGGGAAATTTCTCCATCCTGGAGGGAGCTGTCTGCCCTGGGCAGCAGGGCTGGGACTGCTCCCAGCTGCTGTCCCACGCTCGGGGTCAGCAGATGGAGCTGGTTAGCACAGGCCACCCTCGGCGTGTGACCTCCGACTGGCCAGACTGGGATCACCTCAGGGACACCATGGGCGGCCTCAACACCAGCACAGCCTCGAGCTGCTTTCACCCCGTGGCCGGCCTGGCAGGGCCACACACAACCTGGCCACTGTCCCACTGCCACCACTGCCCACACGGAGCTCAGAGAGGCTCCCCCGTGCTGGGGTTTCCCCACAGGTGCAAATGCAATGGCCACGCCAGCGAGTGCGCGCCGGATGAGGCCGGGCAGCTGGTCTGTGTGTGCCAGCACCACACGGCCGGCGTGGACTGCGAGCGCTGCCAGCCCTTCTACCAGGACCGGCCCTGGGCACGCGGCACCGCCGAGGCTGCCAACGAGTGTCTCCGTGAGTATCGCTCGGGCTGTGTCTGTGGTCAAGGTGTGTGGCCATACTGGCGCTGCATTGGCTCATTCAGAGGCTCCTGCCCTTCCTGTACAGGAAAAGAGTACCTGCTTGTAAGGGAGGGAGGGTTTGCAACCCAGGGCTTCCCTTCACAGCATCACCCTGTGGATTCCCCATTCCCTCACCCCGTGAGCACGGCCATCTGCTCCGTGCGTGGTGCTGCACCCGCCTCTGCTTCCAGTGGCAGAAGCATTGCCGAAAGCTCACACTGCTGAGCCAAGCGTCCCCTCCGGCTCATCTGACCCCACAGGAGGTTGCCGTAACCCCTGGGTGAGCCCTGTGCCCCGCAGGTGCTCACCCCCTCTCCTGCCTTCCCCCCAGCTTGCAACTGCAGCGGCCGCTCCGAGGAGTGTTTCTACGACCGGGAGCTGTACCGGCGCAGCGGGCACGGCGGGCACTGCCGCCACTGCCGCGACAACACGGCCGGGCCCCACTGCGAGCGCTGCCGGCAGAACCACTACCGCTGGGAGCCACAGGCAGCCTGCCAGCCCTGCCACTGCCACCCCGCAGGTGCGTGGGGCTGTGCCCAGCTGGGCTCCGGCTGCACAACCCCTGTCCCAGCTGGAGTTAGCTGGGAGGGATGGTTTTGCTGGGTTCTCCCTTGCTCGAGGTTTACACATTTGCTCCCGCCCTGTGTCTCTGTTGAGTCCGTCCTGTTGAGCCTCAGGGCTGGCCGGGGTCCCCACAGGCTCCCTGCAGCCCCAGTGTGACAACTCGGGGACCTGCCTCTGCAAAGCCAACGTGACGGGCTGGAAGTGTGAGCGCTGCAAGGACGGCTACCACAGCCTCAGTGAAGGTGGCTGCAGGTGAGGAGGAACCTGGCCCTGGGCAGGAGCAGCAGGATGGAAGCAGGACTCACCTCATGCCTTCATCTCCATCCAGACCTTGCACCTGTGACCCAGCGGGCAGCGTTGGGACCTGCGACCAAAACACAGGGCACTGCACCTGCAAGGAGAGGGTGGAGGGGCACTTGTGCAACAGGTAAGCACCACGGCCCTGGGATGGGGACGGGACCACTGTCTCTTTCCAGTCTGGGATCAGTGACAGGACTTGGTGGCAAGACTGTGGGGCTGCATCCCTCTGGACCTCTGGGACCGGGTACACAAGGAGCTGCCACCAGTGTCCCACCCTGGGTTCCCTGCAGCTCTGCCTGCCCTGTGCCATCTGCTCCCATTTCCTCCCTGTGCCCAGGTGCCAGCCAGGCTGGTTTAATCTGCAGCCCCACAACCCCATTGGTTGCACCAGCTGTTTCTGCTACGGCCACTCCACCGCTTGCACAGCAGCCGATGGATACGAGGAGACTCACATCCGCTCCGACTTCAGCCACGGTACTGACCACTGAGTCCTGGGTGAAACAGAAGGCACAGCTGTGCCACCTCTAGCCAAAAAAGCTTGGGAAGGGTTGGGCTGAGCACCCCTCTTGGGGCTGAGCATTCCCCTTTATGGCTAACTAGTGGTGATGACCAGTGGGGATTTTCTCTGGCTTGCCCCTATTTTACTGTTAAACCTTTGCTTTTGCCCCCAGCTTCATGGGGATGGATGGGCTCTCCCTGGCTCCTCATGGTATACCTCCATGTCAACCTGCTCCTGGGGCTGTGCGTGGCTCAGGGAGGGCTGTGGGGCCAGGCATGGCTGCCCCACAACACCAGTGACTGCAGGAGCACTAAAAACAGCTCAGAAAGTTAAAATCTAAAAGGATGGAGCCTGCTGTGAATTTTCCCCTTTATTCCCTCCTCTCCCCACTCTCGGCTGGTATGTGGCAGGGTGGTTGGGAGAGCAGGATGGGGTGCTCTTTGCCTGGCTGCAGCCAGGGCTGTGGTGGCAGGGCTGGATGTGTGCGGGATGCTCGGGGAAACCCTGCCATCTGCCGCGCATCCCGGCGTGTGCAGCCCTGCTGCAGGGACACCGCAGCCCTCACCGCAAGTCCCCGCTCACCAGGACTCCCCCCCTGCACCCTGCAGGGATGAGCACCCACGGCAGGCACCCCCTGTCTGCCTCGCCTGTCCCCTGACGAGCAGATGGATACGAACCCGCCAGGCACGGGTTGATCCTGATTGCAATTAAGCCACGCTGCCAATTGCTGTACTGCTGGAATGTCTTCCACGGCCTTGAAACAGAACCAGGCTTTAAACCGAGTCCTTTTTTCCACCCTTTACGCAGCTAATCTAGGGCTTTTCCTTTTGGGACTGGTTTAGCAAAGCCCTGGGCTGAGATGTAGCCATGACACCCTCCTAAAGCCCCACTCCCCAAAGCGCCCCCCAATCTACAGTGGAGCTGGATCAGATGGAATTTTCCTGTCCTGGGTGAAAGAGTCCAAACTGGGGATGATTTGATAGCTGAGCACAGCCCACTTGAGAGCTGGGAAGGGATTTCCAACTGTTTGTCCTGCAGGGCTAGAAGAAATAACCCTAGGGAATGGGGGAGAGTTTAACTGGCTTCTGAAGGAAACCAACTTCATGCAATTATACCCCATCTCTCTCTGGGTTTCTCCAGCATCTCTCCCCAGGCTTCCTGCGCTCTCCAGCCCACAGTAATGTTAGCAATGCAGCACAGGCAGGGAGGCAAAAGTTTAAAGATAATAACTTCCTCCAAATCTAAAAAAAAATAAACAGATAGGGGCTGGCTAGGGCCACCCTCTAGTGCATGAGAGCACAGAGCCTGAGTGGAACAGGGTGTTACAAAGTGCTGGCCCCTTCCAAGACCCTGGAGAGCCTGGGGAGGAGGGACACAGCCCCTGAAAGCAGCACCTTACTGGTGCTCCCTTTGGTGAACGTTGCCACCGTGTGCTGTCACACAGGGCTGGAGGGCTGGGCTGCCACAGCTCCAGGCACCACAGACCTGCCCCTGCGCTGGGCTGGCGGGGAGATCTTCACCGAGTGGGACGGAGAGGAGCCGGTGGATTTTCGCGCACCAGGTACTGTGTGTGCTGGGTCCCTGGGGTGCTGCTCTGCCGTGGGGACCTGCCAGGGGACCCCCTGGTACTCTCATGGGGTGCCCACTGCTATGCTGCTGTGTGAGGCACTGGGCTCCATCCCAGAGCTGAGCATGTTTCAATAATACAAGGTGGTGGGGAGGTTTGGAACAGTGGATCTGCCTGGGAGGGCAGGTTGGAGCTGGCACTGCCCTAGGAGGGTGATTCTGGCTCCTGATGATGCTCGTGGGAATAGGACTTTCACCAGCAGAGCTGGTTCCTCCATGTCCTACAGACTTTGCTCCTCTCTCCCTTTGCAGAGAAGTTTCTGCGGAACCAGCGCCTCAGTTATGGGCAGCTCCTGTCCCTGCTGTTGGGAGTGGAGAACAGGACAGGGACAGAGCTCGGGATGCCTCTGCTCCAAGTCCAGCTGGTTCTGGAGGGTGAGGGGATGAAGATCACCATGCCCAGCAGCAAGAGCCAGCCCCAGCATGGAAAGCAAGCTGTCACCTTCAGGTACCTGTCACAGTGCTTTGGGGAACCTCAGTGGGGTTTAGGGCAGAGTGTGTCTGATCTTGTCTGGGCTGCCCTTTGCTATGGGGTTCAGCCCCACTCTCTGCCCCCATCAGGGATTTAACTGTGCTCCCATTGCTGTGCCTGGGTCCCAGCCAGGGAGCCAAGCTGTCCTGCAGCACGTGGCTCTCAGACTGGCCCTGTCCTTGCTCCCATGCTCCTTCTCCAACAGGCTGCACGAGGCAGAGGAGGGTGCAGAGCCTCTGCTGTCAGCCTTCAACTTCCAGCGCCTGCTCTCCAACCTGACCACCCTCCGGCTCCGTGTGAGCCGTGGCCCCGTGCGAGGTGGGTGGTCTACACTCAACATTCCCACAGGGACCAAGCTGGGATGAGCCGGGGACACCAAAGCAGCAGCAGACTCTCATGAACGAGAGGCACTGCAGGGGGTGTGTTGGAGCAGGGGCTGGCTCCTCTCTGTGAACACCCCTGGGCTCTCCAGAAGGTGTTTTGGTGTCTCCTATGCCTGTCTGGAGCACTTCCAGGCAGGAATTAGAGAGCTGAGCGTGGGATGTGCCATCCCATCCTCAGGCCGCTCTCCCCTCTCGCAGGCAGGCTGTCCCTGAGCGAGGTCCAGCTCACATCTGCCAGCCCTGGGCTGGGGACACGGGCGGGCTGGGTGGAGGAGTGCACGTGTCCCACGGGCTATGCCGGGCAGTTCTGCCAGTCCTGCGCGCCCGGATTCAAGCGGGAGATCCCCTTCGGAGGCCCCTTCGTCAGCTGCGTGCCCTGCGCCTGCAACCAGCACGGGGACTGTCACCCCCTCACAGGTGTGCACCCCCCGGCCCCTCCACTCACCCCATGCACGAGTGACAAATCCGTGTCTGTGCTTGTTCTGAAACCGTCGGTGGGGGTTGCTGTACCCAAAATTTGCAAGTCGAGTTGCTTGTGGGGACTGGGTTTGTAGCTGCAAAGACAGAGATAATTAATGAAGTGCAATAACGGTGGTAACTTATAATTAGAGGGGCATTTTTCATGGCACTATATGACCTTTAAGGAGGAGAAGGGAAGGGTGCTCATCCTCAGAGGAGTGTTGGAGTAGAGGTCAAGGCAGCAGAGAGGCAGAGGATTTTGCCAGGCTGGGTCTCACAGGCAGCATTGCTGCCCGATGGGTGGAGCAGGACTGGGTACAGCCCTGGAATCTGCAAACTGGGGGTCGACCTGAGCAGAGAAACAAGGAAAAGAGCAGGAAAACACATCAGTGCCAGGCTTGTGGGAAGACACGGGAGGAGCTGGCCCTTGTGCTGCCAGCCCAAGCCCTGTTCTGCCTCCAGAGCCAGCTCAGAGGTGTGTGACTGCAGCAGGGACTGCGGATGAAGGGAGGAAAAAGCCAAAGCAAAGTCTTTGGGGCAGTATGGCTGTGTCTGGGGTGGTTCACAGGGTGCTGTCACTCACCTCTGCTGCCAGACAAAGTGTCTGGGTGGCTTTGGATGGGGAAGGGGAGCAGGATTGCAAACAGCTGCCATGGAGCTTGAGGTGGCCGTGTGAATCCAACAGCAGCCTTGGTGCTGTCAGCCCCAAGGAAATGCAGACCAGAGCCCTGTGGGGCTCATGAGGTGCTGCCGTGCTCCCCATCCCCTGCAGACAACAGCAGCTCCAACAAGTGCTGGAAAGAGCTTGGAAATACAGTGATGCATTTGTTACCCGGAGATCCTGGATAGAGGGGAGCTCCTGGGGGTGGTGGCAGCTCTGCAAACTTGCCCTCATCTCACAGAGCCGGGGCTGGCGCCGCTGCACAATCCCCAGGGACGGGGCCAGGCTTTTGATGTCCTGGCCTGGGCTCTGCCAGCCTGCGCACTTCCTTTAGTTTATTTTTCCACTTCTTCCTGCCACCCGCTTTTCCTTTCTTTTCCTTTGTCTGACTGCCCGGAGGTGGGGAAAATGGAAAAAACACCCATTCCCTCCTGCGCAACATTCCTGGTATGACCTGACCCCACAAATTGTGGGGGAAAATCTTCCCTGTAGCTCCTCCTCTCCCTAGTGAAGCAGAGCATCTGCCTGGAGGTGGGGATTCCTTGAGCACTCTTCCTCATCTTCCTCCTCCTTCTCCTCTTCACAGCCGATTTCAGAAGGCTGACTCACCGGCTCGGATTGCCCTGGAGGAGATGCTCCCCAGTGGGTGCCGGGACGGCTGCTTGTGTTTTCCATGACAGGCTGGAAAGGACGTGTCTCGTTGCTGAGAAATGTGTTGTTGATTATGGCAGGCGCCGACAGCCTCCACACACACACTGATGGTGCTGCCTGTGCCAGCTCTGCCTTGTCCCCGTGCAGCTGTGTCCCCCTGTGTCCTCTCCAAAACCTCCCTTGAGCAAGGACAAGGAAGGGAGGGAAAATGTTCTGAGCACTGGCTGGAGATGTGCAACCCCAGCATGGTCCTTTGGCTGGAGCTGCACATCCCTCTTGGCACCCTGTGTGCCACACTCGGCGCTGGGCTCTCCATCCCTCCCGTGGTCCCTGCTGTTATTTGGGGCTGGGTTTTTGCAGACCCTCAGCTCTGTTTTTCTCCCCACAGGGCACTGCCAGTGCTTGCACAACACAGAGGGTCCCTCCTGCGAGCGCTGCAGCCCCGGGTTCTATGGCAACCCCTTCGTAGGGCGCTTTGATGACTGCAAGCCGTGCCCCTGCCCAGGAGGTTCACCCTGCACCGAGGTGCCCAGCAGTGGGGAGGTGGTCTGCACCCACTGCCCCCCGGGGCAGAGAGGTGAGGCTGGGGGTGGGTGGGCATGGGAGCTGTGGGCAGCACCGACACAGCCAAACCCTCCCCTTCTTTACACCTTCCTCAGGGAAACGCTGTGAGCTCTGTGATGACGGGTTTTTCGGGGACCCCCTGGGGCAGAGGGGGCCTGTGCATCCCTGTGAACCCTGCCAGTGTCATGGGAACGTGGATCTCAATGCCGTGGGGAACTGTGACCCCGTGTCTGGCCGATGCCTGCGCTGTGTGTACAACACGATGGGCGAGCACTGCGAGAGGTGCCGGCCAGGCTTCTACGGGGACGCACTGGCTCCCAGCCCTGCCGGGAAGTGTGCACGTACGTACAGTCCTGGGGACAGCTCACTTGCAGCCAAAATCCTCCCAGCAGTGGAGGCAGAGGGTGGAAGGGGGATGCCCAGTGAGTCTAGGGGGTGATGGATAGTCCAGGTTAGCCCCAAATGCTCTGGAATGGGATTCGTCCTCTTTCTCCACTGCCATCCGTCCCTGGAGAATCTCTGGTCTGCAGGAGCTCAGCCTCTTGAAGTCCTGTTTGATGGGGGGACGTGACTCTCCACATTGATGGCGGGGGGGCTCAGCCCCAGTGTCCCATTCCCACAGTCCTCTCCACCGGCTCCGTGCTGGGATGTAGGTGCTATTTTGTCTCCCACAGCTTGTGATTGCAACCCCAGCGGCTCAGACCCGGGGCTGGAGGGCTGTGATCCTGTCACGGGCCAGTGCCACTGCCTCCCACATGTGACGGGCAGAGCCTGCGGGCAATGCCAGCCTGGCTACTACGACCTGGAGCCCGCCGTGGGGTGCAAGAGGTATGTGGGGCATGGCATGGGGCTGCCAGGGGCAGGGTGGCCCTGTATCCCCGGCTCTGCTCTCTGCTCTTTGGGTCCATTGCCTGCTCATGTCCCCCCACTTCTCGTTCCAGCTGTGAGTGCCACCCAACAGGGTCGCGTGACAGCGAGTGCCACGCAGTGACGGGGCAGTGCTCCTGCCAGCCAGGTGTCACGGGGAGGCAATGTGACCGCTGCCACCACGGCTTCTTTGGCTTCTCTGCCAGGGGCTGCCGAGGTAATGGGGGTGGGGACTGCGCCTCGGTCCCTAAAGCAGGGCTGGCAGGCACAGTATGACACTTCTCTGCCACTGCTGCAGCCTGCAACTGCTCCCCGCTGGGCTCCGTGACCCCGCAGTGCCACGAGAACAGCACCTGCCTCTGCCACCCCGGCTTTGTGGGCTACAAGTGCGACCGGTGCCAGGCCAACTTCTTCCTCAACCCTCTGAGCTCCCACTGCCAGCAGTGTCCTGCCTGCTATGGGCTGGTGAAGGACAAGGTACAGCCCGTGCACTGCCAAGGCGGGCACAGCACCCCAACCCCCGCCCTGCCTTACTGTCCCCCCATGTCCCCCTGTGTCCTGCTCACAGGCTGACCAGCTGAAGGCCAGGCTGCAGGAGATGGAGGAATGGCTGCAGAAACCAGGCTGTAATGCCCACCCAGGCCAGTCTCTCATGCTGGGGGATGCACCTCGGGGAGATGGGCTGCCCAGCCCACACCTCCTGCAAGGTACAAGGGACACAGCTTTTCCCCATGTCCTGCAAGGTATAGAGGACTCCTCTTCCCTCCACCATGGAGGAGCCCCATATGACCCCTCTGGGTGCCCTCTGCTCCTGCAGGGTGGTGTGACATGCTGGGTGGGTGCAAGGAGTTCCTGGGTCAGCGCTGAGCTCAATGTGGGTGATGGGGTGACCCCTAGGGGAGCACAGAGCGGGGGATATGCCTTTTTGGGTAGGACAGAGCACTGCAGGGATGCTTGCACCCATGAGGTTTTGGAGCAGGTGGTGATGGGTGCTACTGAGGGCTGAGCACCAACACACGGGTGCCTTTTGGGTGCTGCATATGTGGGTCCCTCCTGAGCACCAGGAGGGACTGTCTTCCCCTTTCCTTAGCAGGTGGGAGGGAGGGCGTGGGGCAGCCCCAGAGGCAAGCAGGGAGCCCTGAGCACCTCTATGGACAATGAGCTGCTTGTGCTGCTCACAGGTGCCTGGGCCACCCTTTTGGCACAGCTGGGGCAGCTGGCAGGGGCTCTGAACATCGCACGAGGCCGTCTCACCAACGCCACCCAGGCCACCAGCTGCTCTGGCCACGGATCCGCCAAGACCTGCATCCTGCTGTCAGAGATCGGGGCCGTGCTGCAGTCAGCACAGCAGGAGATCCTGAATGCTGCAGACACCCTGGCTACCACGGTGAGCTGGGCTCCTGGGGGGGCTGCTGGCAATCCTGGGGGGCAGGGGGATGTGCCCCCAGGACTGGTGGGGTGGGATGTGGATGTGACCAGCACAGTGGGTGAGCAGGGGTCTGTGTGGGTATAACCCTCCTTGCAGCTGAGTCAAGAGGAGCTATTTTCCTTGCCCCAGCCCTTTGGGAGGTTCTTGGTGCTGGGCTGGTGGGGCTTGAGAGTCCCTGCTCCTTGCCATGGTCTCACTGCTACTGTTTACATTTTAAGGAGATTCCCCAGGAAATCCCTCAGCAGCCCACAAACTGGAGCCACTGGGCACTGGAGGCACGGGCTCTGTCCCAGAGGTACGGCTGCAACAAGCAGACGAGGTGTCTGCCCAGCCGGGGGTGCAGGGAGGCCGCTCCTTTCCCAGGAGGCCAATCCTAATATCATGTCTCTGAGTGTCCTTGTCCCTGCAGCCACGAGGGCGCTGTTGCAGAGGTGGAAGCAGTGGTCAGGAGAGCGCTGCGTGCCTCCAACGCCAGCTCCGAGCTCCTGCGGAGTCTGCTGGAAGGGAATGCGACGCGGGACGCGCAGCGTGAGCTGGAGGCTGGGTGAGGGGCTGGCAGGGCACCACAGCTCCTTGCTTCTGGCCAGGTCCCTGTTACAGGACTCGATCACAGTGATTTGGCATCTGCCCAACAGGGACGTGCTGAGCCCTGTCAAAATCATTGCACCACAGTGTTGCCAAGTAAAAAGACAAGGTGCTCTATATTGTGGGTATTTCAGGGAAAACCCCCAGCCTTTCCTGCTACATCTGTGTCTGGAGCCAGATCTCCCTCCTTTGAGGGACCAGAGGGCCTGGGCTGACAGCAGCATCCTGTCCACATAGGTACGAGGAGATCCAACGGCCCCAGGAGGAGCTGGGTGTGGGCATGGAAGAGGCCAGGAGAGCTTTGGCAGCCGTGCAACAGGCAAATGCAGACATGGCCAAGAAACTTCTGCAGGTGGCTGCTCTGGGGCAGGTGAGTAGCACCCAAGCTACGGCTGGTAAACCTACTCCCTGAGCAGTGCTGCCTCCTGGGCTGGGAGACGCTCTCATAGAGCTCTGGCATTCCTGACCCCACAGCAGGTACTGCCAGTGCAAGCTGGAGCCCTGGCACAGGACCTGGCAGTGGTGGAGCAGGCAGCAGCAGCCCAGGAGCTGTTGGCTCAGCAGGCTGTCGAGACATCCCGCACACTGGCAGCAGGATTGCGTCTGGAGCTGCAGAGGACTCATGGCTTTGAGCAGGTAATTGCTGCTCACTTGCATGGGGAGCCCCACCCCTGCTGCTCCAGCGACAGGAGGGACTGTGCCTACAGCCAGGGAAAGGATGTTTTGGGAGACATCTCCCCTTGGGCTCACGGGTCTCCCAAGGAGCTCACATGCCAAATGGGAGCTGGCTGAGACCCACATTTCTCAGCACTCCTCAGCCTCACTCCTTCCCTCTCCTCTCCCAGCTGCGGGACCGGGCTGGCTCTGCCCGTGACACGGCCACCTCAGCTGTCTCACATGGAAAAGCTGTGCACTCTGATGCCAAGTCCCTCCTGGCCAGCTTGGAAGGTAAAAGGCACCGGTCAGAGCATGTCCAGCCACAGCTTGGCTCTCACCACACTGGCTCTGGGTGCCAAGGGGAGAAGAGGACAATTTGGTGACAGCCAATTTGTCCCCACAGGCATGAGGAAGATGCTGCGGCATCGGAAGGGCCTGGCTGCCCTGAGGAGGAGGATGGCCACTGTGCGGAACAGGGTTTTGGTGGATGCCCAGAAGAAGATTAAACAGGCAGAGAAAACACTGGGAAACTCCTTGTCCCTCTCCATCAGAGCCCAGAGGACAGCTGGAGAGGCTGAGAAAGTCTCTGAGGAGAGTGCCAAGGTCTGAGTGGGGTGTGGGGAACTGCTGGGCATGGCCAGGCTGGCAGCCACCACAGGCAGAGCCCAGCCTGCTGCAGGCAGGGCTGCATGTCCCCAGGTGACTGTCCCCACCTCCATCCCTTTGCAGAGGGCACGGGCTGTGCTGCAGGAGAGCAAACAGGCCCACAAGCACGCCAGACAGCTTGCCAGGCGTGCCAACGAGACCCAGCGGGAGCTATCCCGACAGGAGCACATGGCTGAGAAGCTCAGGGGGGACCTGGAGGAAGCACACCAGGTGAGTTGGGTGCCCTTGGGCAGGTTGTGTCCTCTGGAGCCTGGACAAGCTTTGCCCACAGACCAAAGCAAAGGGAACAACACAGCTTTTGGGATCCACAGTATGGGCAATGCCTTGGGGATGTTCCTGGGATCCCCTTTCCCATCCAGCCAAGGGTCAATAGGGTCCCTGATCTGGGTTTCTGTCTCTTTTGAAAGGTGGGGACAGAGGTGAGTGAGATGGCAAAAAGTCTCCAGGAAGCCCGGGACTCACTCATGTCGGACATCGAGACCCTGAACAACCTGCTGAGCAGCCTCGGTGAGACCCGGGTGGGAATGGTGTGCAGGTTCCCAGGGAAGGGCTGGGTCCGTGGGGGCCGAGGGCTCTCCTGATCACTGATGCTGGGTCTCCTTCTCACCAGCCATCCAGGCTGAGCTGGGTGCTCTTTGGTTGAGATCAGCCATGGTCTCAGCAAAACTTCTTGAAGGTTCATGTCTTGAGGAAAACCCCCATGAAGAATGAATGTGTGTGCTCATGCCTGCTGTGGGGACACTGATCTCCCTTGGCACCTTCAGAAGGAGCAGGGCTGGGTTAAGGGCTCCCTTTGGAGCTGAGGGATGTACTGGGCTGGGTTCAATCCCTGTTGCCGGTTGGATTTGCTCCAGCTTCTCCCGCTTTGATCATCTGGGTACATTTCTGAGTACTCCAGGAGTCTTGCATCCAAGAAATTTTGCAAAAGGGTGGACATCACCCATTTGTAAGACAGACGTGCCCAGGCCCTGCCTGGAGCCACAGTCCTGTTTGCTTATCTGTGATCACTGGGAAGCTGCAAAGCCTCCATGCCCTGCTGCACCCGCTCCCTATAGCTTGCCTGGTGCCAAGGGTCTGAGCCCCTGGAGTATGTCCAGAACCTCTCCTGCCCAGCTGCCTGCTCTCATTCATGTCCTCTCCCCTTGTCCAGGCAACCTGGAGCAGGACATGGAGGTGGAGGCGGTGCTGAGTGCCGGGCAAGTGCAGCTGGAGCGGCTGTGGCAGCGCCTGGCCACGCCGGGCTCCCTGGCTGGCCAGCTCAGCCGGCTGCAGCAGGAGGCAGCCCGGCAGCAGGAGAAGATCCAAGCATTCGAGAGTGACTTGGCTGAGATCCGGGCCGACAAGCGGAACCTGGAGGATATTTTGCGGAGCCTCCCCGAGGGCTGCTCGAAGTGACCGGTTGCTGGCTGCTGCCCCATCCCCTCCGTGCCCCCCTGCACAGGGAAAGGCAGAGGGAAGGACACCCTGTGTTAACCAGCATCAATCCCTCCCACTGCTACTCACGCTGTCCTCCACAGAGTATCACACCCCAGGTCTTTATCTGTTACCAGTTCAGGCTCTGCATTCCGAGTGCTCTGCAGCAAGACTCCAGCCACCAGCTCCCCTTGGGATGGGGGGACAACCAGCTACCAGGGACCACCAACGTTTCTGTGCAGGATATTGAGCCATCACAGGGCCGGTTTCTCACCATGGAGTGAACAAAGAATCATCACAGATTTCCTCCATCTCTCCTTCCCCACCACAGCATGGCACACTGGGCAGGGAGAGCTTATCAAGTATGTAACATACCCAAGCTGTAACACCCAGCAGTCCCTCCTGCCCCAGGAGATGAGAGAGGCTCTCACCTGCTGCACAGTGCCTTGCAGTATTGTGCTCATGTGCTGTGGTCATAGAGGTGCAGAGAGGAATCCTGGTGAAGCGAGGCAGAGAGCTGCTCACCGGAGGGCATACAGCTTGTCTGCTTTCCAAGGGAAGGGAGGTTGCAGCAGGAAGGGATTGATTAACAAGCAGAAGCAAAGCTGGACCCTGGCAGGCAGGTGGGACATCCTCTACCTGCTGCAGGGTAAGAGCAGGTCAGCTCTTGCTGTTCCCCTGCTCCAGGGTAGCACAACACTGCTGCTGCCTACAGCTCCTCGTGTCCTGTCCCATTCCTCCTGGCTTACTGGATACCACCAGGCCTTGCTTTAAACCAGCCCGACATCTGCAATCCCAGGGGCTGGGTGGCACAGGCACCGGGCTGAGAGGTGGGAGAGCTGTATCACCCACAGCCCCACATCAGCACCTGCGCCCCCTCCCCACTGGGAGGAGCTGGCTAGTGGCACCAGGCTGTGCCTGGGGAACGGCTGGACACCAGCTCCTGCCAGTGTCACTCCCACGAGGTGGCAGAGGTCGGTGGCTGCATTGCCTTTAAAGGAAAGGCATGTGTGTTCCCCTGTGCTCCCATGAGGGCTGGGCTGTGTGGCCACGCAGGCAGGTCCTGGCTCAGCCCACCCTGTGCTGGCTGTGCCCTGACTCCAGGTAGATGAAGTCATTCCCATAAGACCAAAAACAAGTCCCCAGGCTGGAGCAGGTTTCACTTTTTAACCAGTTTTACCTGTGTTTTTTCTGCTCACAGTGCTGGAAATCAGGTTTGCTAAAGTCTTGTGTAATTTATGTAAAATTGCTGCCATAGATGTTGAATTCCCCCAGCAACATTTTCAGTGTGTCCAGTGGCCTGAAAGGGACATGGGATTTTCGTACTGAGAACAAACCCTTTGCCTTCATAAAGCTGCCCAAGGAGTGGGGTGCCAGAGCAGCGTGAGTGTAATGGCAGGGCCTCCCGTCCCTCTGCCCAAGAGCAGCTCTGGGAAAGCAAAACCATAGAGCAGCAAGAGCACAGTGTGATCCGGCTCGGCCAGGGAGCCATGGCCACTTACTGTCTCCCTGGGAGGACAATTATACATCTCCGGTGAACACACAAATTTGCTGCTGTTACAGAAATGTCAAGCCTCTGCCGTGTGCCTGCTGCTGAAGATGTTCACGCTCCCTCTCCTGCTCTCCCCGGAATTCTGTGTTTTTAGCTGGCAACACCTGCCTAGAGCTGTATCCATTAAAAATCCTTAATATAACACACAGCTGCCCAACCAGGGCATGTGAAGGTGAGAGGGCAAACGCTGTACCTGCTCTTGCTGCTTTGAAAGAGCAGGGGCTGAAATGCGGCTGAATTTGGAGTGGTGAGGGGCGAACGTCTGACAGCTCCTGCTAAACACCACTTTAGTACATGTTCCTAACATAAGGTGTCAGGCTGAGATCGCGGGGGCGACCGCCACAGCAGCTCCAGGCCGGGACACGCATCAGCCCGGCTGTGGCTGTCCCTCGGTCCATCCCTTTCCCCGCTGCTCGCGCTCCAGGGTCTATCCAGCAGCTGGAAGCGTATCGCCCCACGGGGCACCCGCGGACCCGCCGCCGGTACCGGCGGGGAGCCGCGGCGCGGGGATGCCCATCCCGGGGCGGCTGCGGAGCGATGCCCGATGGGCAGAGGGGGCCGGTCCCTTCCCCGCCGCGGGGAGCCCGCGGGCGGCGGTGCCTCCCCACCGCGCTCGGTACATCGAGCCCCCCGCGGGTCCGCGCTGCCCTCCCGGCGCGGGGCAGGCTCGGCCAGGAAGGGGTTAAGGGCGGGGGGCGGAGGGCCCGGCCCGGCCCTGCCCGCCCCTATTTAAGGCGGCGGCGGGCGCGGGGCGGCTCGGTGCGATGGCGGCTCCGCGCCGGCCGAGCGGCGGGGGGCTGCGGAGAGCCCCGCAGGACGGGCGGCTGGAGGAGATCAACAAGGTGCGGCGGGGGCCGCCCCCCGGGCCAACCCCATCCCGGCGGGGGAACGGGCTGGGGGCGGCCGGGAGGGGAGGGGGCTGCCTCGGGGAGGAGGAGGAGGGCGGTGGGTGGTGGGTGTAAGGGGAACTGCGGCCCCCTTTGCCTGAGCCCCTTTGGAGAGGGGGATGCGGCCAGAGGAGGCAGGGGGGCTCTGCGGGGGTCATGCTCCATCCCCGCCGCCCTTGGTGCTGCCCTCGCAGGCGGCTCTTTCCCCCCAGTGTCCGCACCCCTGCAGATCCGAGCGGCGCCGGTGGGTGCCCTGGGCACCGGCTGCCGTGAAAGTCCCCTTGGGAACTTGTTCCAGCAAGAACAGGAGCTATTGTTCTCCTGGAGGACTTCAACCTCCCCTCCACTGTATTGAGCACTTCAGCTTCTTCCTCGACTTCTTCCCGGAATGAGGAGCTGCTGCTGCTGCTCAGAGCTGACTCCAGCCTTTCTAGCTTTTCACTACAGCGGGTGATGAATAAGTAGCCCAGGACGGCTGGACGTGCCCCAAGCCTTGGGAAGGGGGAATGGCAGCTCCTGGATTAGTGCAAAGTGCACTGGGCTTCATGCCCTTCATGCCAGGGTCAGGCAAGGTCCTTTCCCCAGAGCATCAGGCTTGCCCTGTCCCTTGCTTGGCATGGCAGCAGGGGCAGTTCTCTTGGCATCCCTCCCGGCTAAGAGCGGTCCTGAGGGAGAAAAGAAGGGTTTAACCTTGAAACAATCAACGCTGGGATTTTTAGCGTAGTTTCCAGGTGGGTTTGGTGGTTGCCTGCTCCTATAGCCAGTGGCACCTTAGTGTTACAGGTGGAGAAGTCAAATCACTGCACAAGATGAGAGCCCAGAAGAGATGGTGGCTCACCTTGCCCTCACACTGCCTGAGCTGTGAAAAGTGCCAATATGTTCCACCAGACAGCAGTGAGACAGTGGAGGTGAAGTTTATGTAGGTCACTGGAGAGGGAATTAAGTCATTAGAAATAATTCAATTAATTAGAAACTAGGGTGTGCTGCGGAATAAGAGTGGAAAAAGAGGTGCTGCAGGATTAAGGTGTAGAATAAGAGCACTTGGCTAAAAAGGAGCCCTTGGAAGGCAGACATGGCACACTCTGCTCCAAGAAGGTGCATAGGTGAGCCTAAGGTATCTCCCCTAGCCAAGGTGGTGTTGGCCCTTAGGTTAAGGATGAAGGGACTGTGTTGTACTTACTGCTGCAGTTTCTGCTGCTCCAGAACCACCCTCCAGCATCACTCGGGCACAGGATGGATATGTGATCTTTCAGCTGGTGGGAGCTGTAGGACTGAGTCTGGGAAGTTGTGCTTCCTGGGATGCTGCTGGTGTGCCACTGTTGTGTTCCGGGGCTGGGGCATCTTCCTTCTCCCACACAGAGGACAGAAGCTCCTATCAATCCCCTAAGCTGCCATCACTTCTGGCTTTTCCTTTGGGTGAGGTTTGTATGACAAAAACCAAAACAAGCTACATGACTGCTGATGGAGCTGCTTGTTTGCATCCTTGCTGCCCTGTGTGTCGGCTCAGTGCTGGGAGAGGGGCTTTCAGCCGCTCAAAACCAAGCTGCAGATAGCATGGGTAGCAGCTGCCTATGGATCCTGAGAAGCCATCGTGCTCAGGGCAGCAGCCCCCACGCTGCCCTGCTTTGGTCTCTCTGCCAGCTCTGCGTGGCAGTGGGGGAGTGCAGTGAACATTTGCACACCTCTCCATCACAGAGCTGATAGAAACTTGGGCTGATATTGTGGCTGGAGCCAGAGAGGGGGTTTCCCAAGACCTGAAGAGCCCCAGGGTTGTAAAACAGTCAAGTACTCCTAATAAAACCAATCAGGCCAAATTCCTGTCAGGCTTAATCTCATTGTCTCATCCTAACAGTTAGCTCCCTCCCAGCCCTGCTTTCCTGGCTGGTTTCTTCCCTGCAGCTCTCACTGGGATAAGGGTCTGGCAGGCAGCATCCTGAGCGCACATGTGCTGCTGAAGGACAGCTGAGTCCTAGTATTGACTTCTCTCTTCCAGCTTGAAATGCTCCTCTGGGCTCCCCTCTTGCCTGTTCCCCTTTTCCTGGGGAACCCAATCACATTGTTCAGCCTCGTGCATCAAGGTGGCAAGTCTAATCCAGCACAGATTAGTTTCAACCTAGTTTTACCCACTAATACGCTGGGCTGTGGGGAAGAAATTCAGCCTGTTAGAGAGCAGGTGCCCACTTCTTTCATCCAGGCAGGCAGGAGCATCCCTCAGCCCCTTCCCAGCACCAGAAGGCAGGGCAGCTGGCATTGAGCACTTAAATATCCCAGTAAGAGCTTGGCCTGCCAGGTGGGGTCACCTTTTTGGGGAGCAAGGAAGAATCTGTTTTTGCTCAGGTTGCCTTGCAGGTAGCTGGGACTTGTGTGGCTGAGGTTATTGGCTTAGAAAAGTCTCTCAACAGCTCAAGAAAGGCTGCTCAGGGCAGGAGCGGGGGAGAGGCTTATTAGGCAGTTCTTATTAATAGAACATGCCCCTTAAAATGGGAACTTTAGCAAAGGGCTCTAGGAGGAACTTCAGCCACTCTGAGTCACAGGCCCTGGGG